GAGACTTTGGCTCTTGCATCAACTGTCACCTATCCATAGTTTATGGAAGCGACAATCATTATCCACATTGAATCGGCTTCCGTTCAGCTTGAAAATAATCGGTCCCCTTAGCATTTTCCTTTATGCATCATTGATACTACAATCCAATTTTCACGTAATTAGAAGATTAACACACAATTAATTTATTAATTATTCATTTAGTAAAACCATGACTAAGTGTACGCCATTTGGTAAGACACGTTTCAGAACACATATAAGTCCAATAATGAGTTCAGAGATTTGAACTCACCGTTGGATCGGCTTCCATCGGCTTGGAATTAGTCGGTCTACCTAGCATTACTCAGTAAGGAAATTTTGTACCGTACATAAACCTTTTATCTTTTAAGTATATATGATGTTAATAACATTAATCTTATCTTATCTTATTATATTATGAAAATTATTAATTTTTTTAATAAATTTTAAATAAATACTCATTAGGTATTTTAAAATCCCTCTAAAACTTCAAATAAATACTTAATGTACTTTTTAAAGAAAATTCATTAGGAGGTTGAAGCTCGATTAATTAAATTAATACCATTTCAAAATTTTTAATGGACATGATATATATAATGTTTTATTAAATTACTTCATCCGTCTCAAAATAATTGTCATTTTTTGACATTTTCCACAAATTAATTATTTAGCAATAATTTATATATTTACTTATATTACACTTAACAAAAAAATGAAGATAAATAGAAAATTTAAATGAAGAGTGGATTATTAAAGTTAAGGGATAACTATACGGTTAAAGTAGGAAAAAATTATTTGTCTACCATAAGATTTGAAAAAAAAATCAATTAATTTAAGGTAAATTTTGAGTCCAAATGACAGTTATTTTGAGATAGAGGGAGTAATTCTTTTTATCATTTTATCTTGTTATATTATAAATTTTATTAAAATCTTCAATAAATCCTAAATTGATACCCAATGTGTCTTTTAAAATCCCTCTAAACTCTCAAAGAAATACCCAATGGACCTCTTAAAAGAAATTCATTGAGGAAGTTAAAGTCTGATTAAATTAAATTAATATCCTTTCAAATTTCTTGGTGAGCACAATAAATATAATTTCTTATTAAATTAATTCCTCGTATAATAATAATTAATAGTATTCTAATTATATCAAGTTTCTTACTAATTGTTGTCAAATTCTATTTCAATTACTATACAATAATATAACTTTTATATCTACATATTAGTAAAGTTGAAACAACTTATCTAAATATATAATTTGACTTCTACTTCAATTATATAATATGTTTAGAGTATATATACATTATATTATATTCAAAATGACATTTAACAAATTGATTCTTATTTATTCCATTATTATGGGATTAGGGGAGTAATAATTAATATGTAAATAATTCTTGATAAACATAATTCTAAATAATGATTACAAAAATTTTAAGAATTATAAATAGTTGTAAATTTTAGTACATATAACCAATATGTATCAACTTGATAATGACTATATCAACTCAAAAGACAAATTCACAAAGTATAAAATAAGTTCTAAACAAACCACCTTAATATAAGAAGTAAGAACACTTATAAGAAACTTTAAAATAAAGAAAGTGTCTCTACAAGGAACTTAAAAATTTTTTGACATTTTTTTTTTCAAAATTCTAAACTATCAAAAAATTATGAAAATGGTAAAGTAAGAGACCTTACATGCTTTTAATATATTAATTAAGATAAAAAGTTAAACAATTCTAATATACATGAGAGAGAGAGAGAGAGAGAGAGAGAGAGAGAGAGAGAGAAATTCGGTTAAAAATGGTATATAATAATAATAGAGATGTAAGGAGTGATTAAGAAAGAATAATATTGAGAGAATGAAGATAAGGAGAGAAATGTTAATAACAAACAAATTATTAATATATAAAGAAAAAATAAAGGCAAATGTAGAGTAAATAGATAAATATAATGGTGAAATGTGAGGAGGAGTCCCAATTAAAAATAATGAAAGTTATATATAGGTAAGTGAAAAAGTATCAAGAGAAAAAATTAGTGTAAAAAATGGTATCTATTTTAATGGGTAAGGATTTAAAGGAATGATCAAGAAAGAATGATAGAGATGAGAGGATAATGTGATAAAGAATAATGATAAATAAATTAATAAAAAAAGAGGGGAAATGAGGAAAATAGTGTAGATTTTTATCTTATATTAATTAAAATTTATAACATTGAATATGTGTATCAATTTATTATATATATTACTGAAATTTTTGTGATTTTATGATCTTTATAAGTTATTGTAATACAAGAAAAAAAATAAAATACCTAATGATAAATAGAAAAAGGAAAACTGAGTAGAAAAATATATAATGATAATTAAAAATGTCAATAGTGACTAAAGAAGAATAATAAAGAGTGAATGATAAGGAAAAAAAGAATAATAAAAAATAAATTATTAATATAGAAAAGAAAAGTGATGGCGGACACTATTTAGAGTGATAATAAAGTAAGAAAATGTGAGGGAGTAAATTAAGAAATGGTGTCATAAGAAAAAATAATGAGAGGTGGAGCAATTGTACAAAAGTTAAAAAAAAAATTACTAATAGAATAATGCTAAAAGTTATGCTTTTTAAATTTTAACTTAGAACATGTCCAATATAGATAAAAGGAGAGAGATAATTGGGATAAGAAAATATTTATACTAATATATAGAGATGCAATAAGTGACTAAAAATGAATAATATGAATAGGAAAATAAGGTGAGTAAGAATAATAACAAACAAATTATTAATATAGAGAAAAAAATGAGCACATATATAGGTAAATAGATAAATATAATGATTAAATATGTAAGGATAAGCTAAGAGATGATGTTGTAAGAAAAATTAATGAAACAGGGAATATATATAAATGAAAAAGTATTAAGAGAATAATGCTAATTTTTTATGTCTTTTATGTTATGAATTAAAACCTTCTAATATAGGTATTTAGAGAAAGGAGACAAGTTGAGGTAAAAAATAAATATATAAGAGTAATAGTTTCAGTTGCAAAGATAAAAGAAATTAATATGGATTTAATGAATTGTTATTTTGTATTTATATTAAAAATTTTAAATTGATATGAAAGTTAGATATCTATTTATAATAAATTATATGTGTTTTAAATAGCTTTTATATTTATTGATTAAAAATTAATTTTAATTATAAACCAATATTATTATATTTAATAATCATTAAAAAGTATAATACAAACAAATCGTCTTGAGAATGATTTTAAAATCTAGTTGTAAATTTACAATCATAATATAATATGAT